GAGAGACCCCTACCCTATGACCCAGTAATGTCACAACTGTGTATATATCAAAAGAAATGATTGCTTAAATCCACAAGAAAACATGTCAAAGAGTTCATGGCAGCCATATACATTTTTAAAAGTAGAATTCTCTCAAGGTCCATCAACAGAAGAATGGATAAAGAATTTTAATCTGAGGCACGGTAAAGTTGGTGCCTATCAGAGGGCCTTGCAAAACTTGAGGGAGGACTGTGCTCACTCACAACAATCACCTAGACCACAGGAGTGGAAGTAGGAAGAATACAACAGTGGAGAAACAGGCTGAGCTTGGATGTGCTCTTTCAGCGCTGCTCAACCAGCACACATAGATGTGTGGGTGAGCAAGGAAGGCGTGGAAGGCTTGAGGAGCCTGGAATCGTGAGGACTGCTGGCTTGTTGACTTGACCCCATGTGGGAACTACAGCTGAGTGAGGAGACCAACAAGTCTGGAATTCAGGGAGAAACATGGACTTCTAAGCCTGGCATTGATACCCGTTTGAACCAACCACAAATGGCTAAGTAGGGGTTGACCAGAAAGCCAAGAAGATGAAGAGAAGATGTCCGTTACTGGGAGTTAGGATAGTTGGCTGCAACCTGATGGTTTGATCTGGACTGGGCTTTGCTTATGGATGCAGATGCTCCAAGTTTCCAAGTTGAACAAAGGATGCTTCAGCAAAAGGGACGAACTTGTTCCCTTGGAGTACTGGCTTGAGAAGGATGGGCAAGTTAGCAGTTAATTATCTAAAAGGGGGCATATTGCACATGAGGCGTGATGTAGCTGGCCTACATGTGTTCATGTACGTCTTTGTTGGTGTGATGATTATGGGGGGGGGGGAAGAAACCCACAATATAAAAGAAAAAAACAATTTGAAAAAGAATTTTTATTTATCTATACAATGAATAAGCTATTTATACATACACCAACACAAATGGATTGTTTTTTTAATAAGATACAAGGAAGAGAGAATTCTGGGAAAATGACAGCTTAAACAGATCATCATTCTGACCCTCTCTCACAATTATGGGAAATGGCACTCAGCTATAAGAAACTCTGAGTCAGGAAGCTGAACAAAACAGGGAACTCCAGACAGGCAAGAATTAATGAATTAACAGTTAGTCACCTATAGCAGGAAAATCATCTCTCAGATAGTCCCTTCTTCTCCTTCCAGACACACAAGTCAAGGACAGCTGCCATGACCTGGGGAAGTGGCCCCACAAAGAAAAATAAAACAGAGCCCATGCCTCCTCATGTTGTTGTTGTTGTTGTTGTTGTGTGCCGTCGAGTCGCTTGCGAGTCATAGCGACCCCATGTACGACAGCCCTAAACTGTGCCAATTCCATTGCCTCTGACACACCCATCCCGATTACCCCAGTCACTGAATCAATCCACCTCATAGAGGGTCTTCCCCTCCTGCGCTGTCCCTCCACTCTACCCAGCATGATGTCCCTCTCCAAGGACCTGTCTCTCCTTACAACATGTCCAAAGTATGTCAGACGAAGCCCCATAATCCTTGCCTCCAAGGAGTAGCCTGGTTTAACCCTCTCCAGGATGAATTTGTTTGATTCCTTGGCAGTCCAGGGTACATTCAGTACTTTTCTCCAGCACCACAGCTCAAAGGCATCAATTCTCCTTCTATCTTCACTAGTCATTGTCCAACTCTCTGATGCATAACAAGTGATTACAAAGACCATATGGCCTGTATCAGGTGCACCTTAGTCTCCAGAGAGACACCTGATACCATCCACAAAAACAAATTCAAAATAGATTAAGGACTTACCTGTGCAAAGTAAAACCATAAAAAAAATCACAATCCATAAAACTCTTAAAAGAAAATGTGAAGGTAACACTGTCAGGATTATCTTTTTTTTCTATAAGTGAGTTAATTAATATAATAAAAGCACAAACAGCAAAAGGTAAAGTAAATAAATAAAATTTCAGAAAAATAAAAAATTTTGCTTTATCAAAAGAATTCATTTTTTAAAAATGAAGAGATAAGCTATATAGTCTAGGAGGATACCTTTAGATACTGTATATCCAATAAGAATCTAAATCCAATATTTGTGTGTGTGTGTGTATGTATAAAACGTTGACAACCTAAAACCAAAAAGGTAACAAAATCCCAATAATTAAATGGAAAAAGGATATAAGTAGACATTTAACCAAAAATGACATTTAAGTGGCCAGCAAACACATGAAAAGATGCTCAATGTCAATAGCCATAAGAAAGATGCATATAAAAACCACAATGAGATACCACTTTAATTCTACTAGAATGGCTAAGATGGGAAAAACTATAACAATAACTATTGTTGGTGAGGATGTAAGGAAATTGGAACCCTTATCTGTTGCTGGAGGGAATTCTGGTGACCTAATGGTAAGGAGTGGTTTTGCTAACCCAAAGGTACGCGGTTCTACTCTACCAGCTGTTCTGCATGAGAAAGATGGGCAGTCCCCTCCCATATAATTTACAGTCTCTGAAAACCCACTGGAGGGTCAACTATGCGTCAGTGCTGACTCAGGAACACATAGCACATCATCTATTGCTGGTGGCAATACATAATGATAGCATCTTTGTGGAAAATGGTGTGGTAATTCCTTGTTGTTGTGATTGTTGAATACCTTCAAGTTGAAATCAACTCATAGCTGACACGTTAGTGGGTTTTCAGAGGCAATAAATCTCAGTAGAGGAGATTACTCATCTTTCTCCTGTGGAGCAGCTGGTGGATTTGAACCACATACGTATGTGTTGGCCAGGAAGTTCCTTATCACTAAGCCATCTGGAAGTAAAAAGTGAAATTAAATCTACAATTACCATATGACCCAGCAGTTTTACTTCTGGATATATATATTCAAAGAGCTCATGGGCTAAACTTTAAAAGACACATGTATTCTATGTGTAATTGCTAAAAAGTAAAAATAACAGGCAAATAAATAAACAAAATTTATAATAAACACATCCATACAACAGAATATCATTCATCCAGCAAGAAAAATTAAATCTTGATATGTACTCAGTAATAATGGAATTTGAAGACATTATGCTGAATGAAATAAGCCTACTACAGAACAATAAATACTGTATGACCTTACTTACATAAAAAAGACAATAAAAGACAAATGTATAGAGAATAAATTTCCTTAGTGCTTACCAGGGGCAGCAGGGAGGTAAAAAACCCCTGTGATTAGTGGTAATAGAAAAATCAAATTTATTAAGAGTTGAGTTGCACAACCATTTATTATAATATCTCTCACTAAGTTGTACACCTGTAAAAAGGGAAATTGACAAAAGCCGTGTGATAAATATATTTACAACAAGAAGGAAAATGAGTAGCTACTGAGGCTGCTCATGTACAACCAGAAACCTCATGGGATTTGCTTCCTTGGTTTAAAGGTTTAGGATCATGATTAATTGACCTAATAACATGTTCGGTGCTTCTGTTCTGTCTCCTAGTTAATTTTGCACAGTGCCTAGGGCATTAAACGCTTGTAAGCAACCATCCAAGCCATGATAATTGGTCTCTATTCACTTAGAGCATCAGAAGAGTGAGGACTAGGAGGAGGATACACAGTGTGTGGCCAGTTGCCTCCTGGAGAAACTGCTTCCTGTGTCACGAGACCAGAAGATCTGGGTGGTGCCTGGCTACTATGAAGTCAACATTTTCATCAAAGATTCCATATAAGACTTCAAATTGGATGCCTAATTTGAAATTCTTATTGTTGTAGTTATTGTGTACCATTGAGTCGGAACCGACCCATAGCTGACCCTCCAGCAAGTTTTTCAGAGGCAGTTAATCACACTGGAGGAGACTACCCATCCTTCTCCTGTGGAGCAGCTGATGGCCTCGAACTGTGTGCCTTTGGGATTGCAGCACAGCTTCTTGACACTAGAGACCACCAGAGCTCCCTTTCAGATTCTCATTCTCATATACTTTAGAGTTTGTGGAGCCCAGAAATCAGTGCTCTTTACACTTTAAAACAAATTCTAATACCTTGTTAAAACCAAATGGTAGTTTAGCTTGTCATTGTTGTCGTTGTTGTTGATTGCCATCAAGTTGAGCATGACTCATAGCAACCCTATGGAAAAAAAAATAACTGAAACCTTTCTATAGCTATTGTCGTTTCTCAAAGTTCAGTGAGTTTCCAATGAGGCATGTTGTTTAGGAAGTGGATGCCACTCCTGCTTCTGTAACTAGTGGAAAATACTTTCACTGAGTATTATACTCTTTTAAGAACTATCTATATGGGATCAAAGTAACAAAACAGCCAAAACTATGAAATCTTACACAGCAGTGAGTTCCTGTTAGTGGGAGAGGAACAACTAAAAAAAGGAGGGTAAGAATGATTGAACAACTCAAAGACAGTGAGCACTGTCACTAAATTGCACTTGCAGAAACTGTCACATTGGGAAATTTCTCTGTGCATATTCTCAGCAAAAACGAAATAAAATCTAGGGAGAAAAACCCACAAAAGAGCACACAATTCCAAGTATATAAAGTTTACAAACAAGGAAACCCTCTTGTGATAGAAACTAAAGAAATCTTAACTCTTTTAAGACTGGAAAAGAGGGTGGGGGGTGTTGAATGATGGTGGAAATGTTCCTATCATGACCCAGATATATTTAGCCACTGAGCTGTACTTTTTAAATTTGTGTGTTTTATTTTTTTATGTCATTTATCCTTCTGTGAAGTACTACCATAGAGAAAAAAAAATAAGAGGAAGGAAGCTCTTTAGTTATGATGAAAAAAAGAGGGACAGAACTCTGTGTCGAGGCCATATGTGGTGCTTAGCTCAGTGAATTAGATCAAATCGGAACCTAGTAAAGTGTTAAAGTGAGGATATCAGTCCTTTTGCCTGTGGACCAACATTGCCCTGCTCATATGAGCTCCCGGGGGAAGATCATGAGTAGTAATTTGTCCTTTGATTATCTCTTCCACAATCATCTCATGTCTTTTCCTGTTTCTCTGTTTTCTTTGTTCTCCAGGAACTTCAGAAATATGAGCAGTTCATCTTTTCAGATCATACCAATATGATCCAGGTTGAAAATGTCTATGAGGAAATTTTATATCAGACTCTCCTGGGTGAAACTCTGAAAGGTAAGGAAGGTTTACCTCGTGCTGATGTCAGTCTTACTTCTGTAAAGATTACAGTCTTGGGAACCCTAAGGGGCAATTCTGCTGGTCCTACAAGGGCCACTATGAATTAAAATTGACTCTACAGTGATGGGAGTGGGGAACTTTAGACAGGGTAGTGCTGTTGTGAAATGAGACTCAATAAGGCCACATGCATTTTATCACTAAATCAGAAAATGGGGGAGGAAATTGACACTGGAGAACTAGGGAGACAGAAGAAAAAGAAGATGGAGTTTTCCTGATTTGTACACACCTTTGTTGTTGTTGTGTGCCATGAAGGTAGAACTAACCCATAGAAGACCCACCAGTGGATTTTCAGAGGCTGTAATTGCATGAGAGGAGATTGTCCACCTGGTGGATTGAACTGCCTGCCTTTGGGTTGGCAGTGTATCTCTTTATCCATTAGGCCACCAGAGCTCCCTTTAGATATTTTTTCTTTTGATACAAATAACAATAATGCTATGAGATAACAATATGAAGCTTCATCTTTCATATGAGAAGAAGATAAATCCAGGATCATTCAGCAGAAAAGTGGTCAAGTTAAGATTCAAATAAAGTGCTGCCTTTTACTCACTGTTACAGATAGGACAAAAGCAAAAAGCTGTTCAATACCACAGGTTCCTGACCTCTCCCAGAGGGAGGAGGAGAGGGTTCTGGTGACCAGGCTGACCATCTGCTGTCTCAGCACATTCCTCACCTCCACACAGCCAGACAGAAAACACAGGGTGATGGTACAGTACCCAGGACTCTTGTTAGGACTCTATTATCCACTGTCCTATGACTTAAGTCTTGCTTGGAATAGGAAAACTTGATAGGATACTTATCAGATTGGGTCTGAAACACACCTGGTCTCTGTGCAGAAAGTCTGAAGTACCACAAAAATTTGCCTCTAAGAAAACAGGCCAAACGCAAGCCCCAGGTCACTGTAGCTAGTCAAAGGGGATCCAATGAGACAGGGATGGAAGGACGTCTTCAGTGGCTCTTTTGTTTCAGTTTCCAGGCTGAACAGCACCTCTGGGTGAAGTAGAAGAAAGTTTCTTTCTTCTGGACACTTTACTGTCTTCTGTTGAAAATCTGTCACAACACAGGCCTACTTTGGCAATGTTGCAGGCTAGCTTTCAGACCACCAGATATAAGCAAATGCCATGATGGAGCAACTCACATGAATACTTTTGTTTTCCACTCTATATAAAAGTTACATTTGGAGCTATGGTGACCTAGTAGGTAAGGAGTTGTACTACCAACCCAAAGGCAGTTAATTTGAATCCTCCAGCTGCTCCGCAGGAGAGAGATGGGCAGTTGCTTTTCGTGCAGTTTGCATCCTTTGAAAACCTCAGGTAGGAGTCATTTCCAGCTTGTTGGCAATGAGTTGAGTGAAGGTTAACACTGGACTGAAGTCTACTAAGTCTGCTATAGCATTATGGGAAAGTTTGAAATTTTGTGAGAATTACCAAAATGTGGTAGAGAAACCTGCAGTGATCACACGCTGCTTTTGGGGAAAATGGGGCCAACAGACTTGCTCAATGCAGGCTTATCACAGACCTTGAATTTGTAAAAAAATATAATATCCATGAAGTGTAGGAAAGTGAAGTTATGCCTGTATACGGGTATTTTTTTTTTTTAAGAACAGGATACTGTCCTGTTAGCTACCAGAAAATGATGAAACCAAATTCACAGGACTATGTAGGCTGTGACATGAATAGTGCACCTTGGGTGTGATAATGTGGGGCGCTCTGCATCCAGAGTGATCAGCTGCAGCCTCCACCAAATATGCCAGCTGTGTTGTACTTTCTATTTAGAGTTGCTGTTACAGCTCTTCCCAAGGCCTTTGAGGCTGAGCTACATGTGTGCAGGTTTTGACTAGGGTACAGGTCGACCAGTCTGTCTCATCTCCATGTGTGACACTGAGTAGCACTGGGCATCCAAGACTATCTTGGACACTGTGAGAAGCAGAGATATGTAGATCCTGCCGCTTCCCAGGAGGAGTATCAGCCAGGGTGGACAAATTGGAGGCTCGTGTATTAGTAACCAGTACCATGGGAAAGAGGCTTCCATGACTTATATAGACGATACAGTTCTAGACCTTGAGCTCTTTGAAAATAAAGACTGTATTTTTACACTGCCTGTTATTTTGTATTGCTGAGGCAATTCTGACTCATGAAGAATCTATAAGCCAGAGTAGAACTGCCCCATACGATTTCTTATCCTTATGAGAGCAAATCCCAATGTCTTTTCTCCACAGGGTTTCTGGTGCTTTTGAACCATTGAGTCCGTGATTAGAAGCTGGGTACTTAACCTTTTTGCTCACCTATAATAAACCAGTTTACTAGAGTTGAAGGACTAAAGGCAACCACTTGTGTGTTGGAGCTGAGCTGTGTGCCGTAGGCTTTCCAGTGGCTGATTTTTCAGGAGTGGATGGCCAGGCCTTTCTTCCTAGGCACTTCTGCATGGACCCAAACCTCTAACCTTTTTACTGGCAAACTCCTTGCCCACAGGAATGGCCAGCAGGCATTTGTTGGTTGAATGAATGAGTGCTATAGAGATTTCAGCATTTGGGAAACATTTACAGGTTTCAGCGGCCAGGGAAGGCTCTGAAAGGAAGGTGGGAGTAAGCTGACACTTGAAATTGATAAATAGCCAGAGAGACTCTGGGAGAGGTGTTTGGACTCTGGATAAAATCAGATAACCCAGCTAGACCATTATAGCATGTTAATGTCATCTTTTGTATTCTGGTCTCTCTTAGTGATAAAAGAAGCTGCTGTCCTAAAGAAACACAACTTATTTGAAGACAACATGGCTTTGCCCAGTGAAAGCGTGTCCAGCTTAATTGATCTAAAGACCCCTGCAGGGTCAAACCAGGCCAGCCCTGCCAGGAGAGCCTCTACTGTTCTGGAGAGTGAAGCCCCAGGGAGTGAAGTGTTCCAGGAGCCAGAGGAAAAGCAGCAGCCAGCGGCCTCTGGTGCACTGGCTGGAGAGGAAGGCACTTCTCTCTCTGTGTCTAGCCTTCTCTCGGGAGGGGAGGAGCAGGTGATGATTTCAAGCATGGAGGGCCCTGGGAATCTTGTGGCTGCAGAGAACCAGGAAGCAACCTCAGGTATAGAGTCTACAGAGTTAAAGTTAGGAGGGACTCCAGAGGGAGAAAACGCCACTCCGGAAGAATCTGAATCTGTCTCTGCCTCAGACTCTTTGAAGGAGATCAGAAAATTGTTGACAGTGACAGTTGAAGAACCAGTAGAATCTGTGTTAGAAGAGCCAGTAGAGTCACCCCTCATGATTGAAAAAGATACAAACAAGGAGACCCATTTGCCCCTAAAAGATGAGAGAGAAGAAGAAAAAATCCAGATCCACACAGAAGCTGATGAGGCCTCCCATCATGATGGCTGTGAAGAAGGTGAAGTCAGTGAAAAGGAAGTCCAGCCTTTTCTCAAAAGGGCCAGTGAGGTAGAGTTGGGGAGTTCTCCAGAGGCAAGCAACCCTGCTCCTCAGTCAGAGTCTGGAGAGTTTGCTGAGGGGGTCAGCTGTGTGGGTCCCCCAGGTGAGCAAGGGGAGGCTGAGAGGTCTGCTGAGGAGGAGCTCACAGGGAGGACCGCCTCACTGCTTGAAGAAGGAGAAGGGTCCCCACGTGCCCTAGAGAGTGAAGCCAATGCACAAGAAGATTGTAGTTTAAGTCCTGACCATGTCTGTCTCAGTGACAGCAAGGCTTCTGGAGAGCAGAGAGTCATGGAAGAGAAAAGCAGTGCAGGCCAGGCCGAGGCCAGCATGGGGTCAGAGACCGTTAAGGCTGCCAGTGTTCATGCATGCCAGTGGGTGGTTGAAAGTGCTCCCATCCCCGACAGCGTTGGTGCACATGGAGGTGAGGTGGAGACAGAAGGTGGTCAGGAGAGTTCCCCAGGGCAGCCTTCAGAGGAGTGAACAGGACTATTGGTAAAAGCCTTACTTTGAACAAGGTCAATCAAAAGGCTTTGGGACTTTAAAACATTTTATTATTTCCTGCCTTTATATAATGAAGCCAAGGAACCAGCACATAAGGATATGAGCGCTGTAGCAAACCTCTGTGGGACTGAACTGTTCTACACTGTCACCTTCACATTTTAAGAGGAATGACTAAGACAATGAAGAGTTCGGTGTTAGAGGCTAGTGGAGGGTAGTAGAGGGAAAGGAGTATTGTTACAGTTTGAACCAAGAATCAGTAAGGAGCATGGTTTTAAAACATTCTTCACATTTTAGTGGTCCAGTCTCCAAATGCACTTTAAGGCTTTTGGGTTTTGGGGTGTTTTGTTGGTTTTTTTTTTCAAGAATGTAAATGTCTAAGTTCAGCTTCACTGTTCACTATGCTAATGTCACTATCTCAGCATTCGTCCATGGTCAGGCTACACGACAATGAAGAACACTCAAGTCTGTTTACAGATCACAGAGCTGATCATGCCAGAAGATCTCAAGACAAGCTAAGAGGAAACAGATGAGATTCAGGGTCTGTGAAAGTGCCTGGACTGATTATTAATTCTGTTACAAAATTAATAGTTAATTGTGTTAATTAGTCTTACTGATCCTTATTAATAATCACCTTTAGGGGACATTCAAATGAGGTATAAAAATTTGATTGGCAGGTTTAAGCCTGCAAACATTGCAAATCAACCTTAGCCTGTGCAGGGGAAAAACTTAACTCTGATCAAGCTTAACGCCTACTAATTAAACAAACAGTATTTGAACAGTACTGTATGCCACGTATTGTGTTGGCTATGGGTAAAAAAAAAAGTTGTATTGTCTAGTATATAAGACCCAGAGACTTGGCCTAGCTTATTACCAGAAAACAGCAAGATATTTTTTTAAAAGCCAAGTTCCAAAAATGTTACCAGAAATTAAAATGTTCTGTCCTTTAAAGAATTGGTTGAATCCCTGTTTTATGCCAGGCATTGAGGCACCATGGTGAAAAGATACTCCCCCTTCTTCCTGAGATTTAAACTTCAGTGGAAATAGACATGAACATAGTTTCTAAATGGATCACTACTTATAACCATTATTGTGGGATGGTCTTTTCTGAAAAGATTGAGAAGATATATCCTCTTGATCCAGGAGTGGAGGGGAAAGAAAAAATATAAATAAATATTTTCAAAAAACGTAAATCCAAGTTACTGCATATTAAAGTTTGCTTACTCAATTTTTAATATTAAATCCCAACATACTGTCTAAAAAGCTTATTGTGATTATCACCAGCAATGAAGTTTCTGTCGCTTCTTTAGAGAATTTGTATCAGTTTGTCTTTAATTACAAATTCCAATATTACCCCCTCTACCCCATCCAAAAACAGAATCTGGAGTTTAGGCATAGTATATGCTTCCTGCTAAAAAGGAACAACCTTGAATATTAGCTTCCCAACTCCTCAAGTCACTTTGGTATTCCCTCTGGCTAGCCCAGAATGGTAAATACCAGGCTGCCCGGAAATAGGAACGAGTTGTCCATGCTGGACTATTTGGTGCTGGATTTCAGGCAGGGGCATGGTTTTTATTGGGCTTTCTGCTCCTGGTGACTCTTCCCTTAAACAAAGTCCAAAGTCCACAGGGAGAGATGGCCAGGTGAGGAGATATACTGCCTGGTACAACAAAAGAGCAGTGACAGTGCCTTGCTGCCAAGGCCTGACTCCTCTCTGGGGGAATCTCAGTAAGTTGGGGGTTGGGGGGGGGTCACAGCCAAGGCTACTCCAACTCTGCAGCTCCCCAGCTTCCTTCCTTTGCTTACCTCAGGGCTTCTTGCCATCCTCATAAACCTAATGGATTTTTCCCCCCAACCCTAAAATGGACTATGAGGAGTACTGGTGGTGTATAGCACAGTGTGCTGCACTGCTAACCAAAAGGTCAAAAGTTGGAGTCCACCAGCTTCTCCAAGAGAGAAAGATGGGCAGTCTTAAGATTTACAGCTTTAGAAACTCAGTGGAAAGTTGTAATGTGTTGGAATTGTTTCAATGGCACTGGGTTTGGTTTTAGTTTAAAATCGTTTACTTCACTACATTGCATGACTCCACCTTCACTCATTTACTCACTCATTGTGTAGAGTTGCTGACTTCTGTAGAGTTTCCAAGGCTGTAAATAGTAATGGGAGACTGCCTCTCTTTCTTTCCAAGGAGGAGCAAGTGGATTTGAACCATCAAAGACGCATAGTGTTTGAGTTAACAGTGCAACTCTCTTCAGAGCTCCATTAAAAATGGAGTGGGAAGCTAAAATATGTTCAATATATTGATTATTAATTTTTGTATCTTGAGTGAACAAAATTCATACTGTCAGGAGTTGGCTTTGCTTTTAATGTAGACTCATATTTTTTATGTCAGAGGTTCCAGGAGGGAGTACATTTACCATGAGGGTTTTCATTCTCCCATGGACAAATTCATTAGAGATGCATAAAACCCTAAGACATGGATTTTGGCAAAAACTCTGCAACTTTAAGCTAGCTGTATTGCTATTGACCTTTCACAGAGAAAGTATTTCCCTTGAAGAAAAATCAGCTTGTCATTTTCTCCTTTGGAGCTCGTGCAGAAATAGCAGTGTCTGGCATTGTGCACAGTAAACTCTTTTTAAAGAAAGTGTTTTGGAGCTCACAAGGATAAGATGCTAGTTTGGCCAAATGCTTTAAGAAAAGACTAAATGTGAAATGGGAAGGTCTTTAAGCCTGACCTACATTTTATAACAAAAATTCTCAAATCTAGTTTTATATTCTTTTGGATTGGAGTCATTGATAACAAAGGGCTTCATGATTCTCCCAGACAGAAGGGATTTTTTATTCATTCTGAGAAGTGCCAAATGATATATAATGCCTAACAATTTTAATATAAAGGTGGAAAGACGTAGCCAAGTTAAAGAATAACAGTTTCAAGAGGTAAAATGTTGGTGTCATACATCTTCTTACTTTATTGAACATAAGAGGGTTTGGGGACTTGCTTTCTGAATTCTGAAACTTCAGAGGGGGAAAAAAAGGAATGTCTCTCAATTGAATTTTTTTTCTGGTCATGATATAAAGCAAATAAACTTAAAACACTTTGTAACAACCTATTTACTCTGCCAAGTGCCTATATTCCAATAAAATGTTTATCCTCGATGAGTTATTCATATGTCATATTCATTTGGAAATGAGATTGGCTTCATCTTTTAAGCAAATGTCATACTTTCTCTGAGAAGAACGGGCCTCAGAGATAAAAGATGAGTCACTGTGGCTGTATTATGCAACTTTCACTCTTCTGTTGTCAGTAAGGCATCTGCAGGGAAGCCACTTAACGTCAAGTGTAATTATACTTGATAATGCATATGCTTATATGTCCAGGAACTGAATCAAGTCCATAATACTGCAATTGGTAATTACTCTTGAAGTAATTGAGCTGCTGTTCAAACTTACATTTATTTTCAGTGAGTAACAATGAGCAAAGCATCCACCCTTTCCATATTTATAGATAAAGCTATAGAGCTTTTGTTCACCCTTCTTTAATGTTGCTCATTGTAAAATTGTAGCATTAAAGATCCTCTAACTTCAGGAGAAGACAGTCACCATCATCAACCCAAAGCTGACTTTGAGGTAGAGGTGAGATACACCTCTGCCCTTCAATCTTTTTACCAATTCTGACAAAAGCTAGCCCACTCACAAACTCTAAACTTCTCTTTTTGTTCAAAAATTCATTGCAGTGACTACACAGAACATGCTATTCTTATGATGACGGAGTTTATTAGACTTGGTGTGAGTTGGAATTGACTCAGTGGCATGGGTTTGATTCATTCCTTCCCTACCTAGAAGGTAACAAGTTACTATTTGGAATCAGGATCAAGTTAGAAATGACAGAAACAACTCAGGATAGAAATATTTTATAAGAAGTACTTCTTTGGCAATGCCTATAAGCAAGCTTTTGCTGCCAAGTTCCACTTGGGTCTGGCCTTGGCCCTGATAGAGCAGGTATTACTGCCCTTTAGTGCCACATGACCAGAGGTACTCCAGTAAGCCTTCTATCCAAAGGTACTCAACTCTTATGACTCTGTGGGTTGACCTCCCCACTATATCAACCTTACTCCATGGGCTAGGAAACACATCATGATATTTTGCACTAGCTTCTTGGTTCTGCTATCACCATTTCTCTGATGCTGGACTCTGCCATGCTTGTCACTACTTGAGCACAGTTTCTGCCTTTATAGCTCTCTTTGTCTTCTGGGTCTAGGAGGTTCTCAGCTCAGGCTCCCTTGGTCCAAAGGGCATATTCTGCTCCTGGCTCATCCTCCTGATGTATTGAGATCCCCTTCTCATCTCTAGAATGAGCTCTTTTAAGCCAGACATGTTGGAAAAACTGACCAATCCCCATGGTTGGCCACACCTTATTTGCATACTCTAACTCTTGCAAGGGTTCCCTGCAGTTTATTTGCATGATTGTATTTTCCAGTCCTATGAGGAGTTCCACACACTTCATTACATAAGGTCACCCAATCATTTTGTAAGAGTTATAAGACTGTGGCTGGAATTGCCACATAATTCATTGCACAGTACTGCCTTCACTCATCTATTAATTTATTCATCAAAAGATTATTTTTAACTATATTCAGGTACATAGGGTTTTCAGAGGCCTGCTATTTCAGAAGTG